TGTATATATATATATACATATATATATATACACACACACACACACATATATATATATATAGGAGAAGCAACACTCAAGACGATGCCACCTCATGCCTTCATCTGGGAGAACCGAACATATCAGGGAGGTAAACTTGACCAAAGTTAAAGTACTTTAACTTTTCAAGTACGTACTTTTTATTTATAAAGCTCCACTGATACTGTGATCAGTCATTACAGGAACGCTGCATCGTGATCTTATCGGTATAAAACAGAGTATTTATAGCATCACTTTGTTTGACCAAGAAACAGAAAACATTCTGCTCCTACATTTCACTTCCCTCTAGTCCATAAGAAGTGTCAATAAACTCCGTAAATACAATCAAAAATATTGCATTTCTTGCAGGATTTCTCATGCAGACATCTCCGTTACATTAAGATGACACATTCTACTATCATAAAGAGAACAAATTAAATCGTAATCCAATTATCTTTTATTAGAAGCGGTGGCTCTGTTTGGACCTGCAGGATAATTTGAGCTGTGAGGCTCGGCTCCTCTGAAACAAACAGCAGCCGAGCAGAGAGATGCTTTAAAATGTCAGTAAAAGCGATGTGAGAACTGCCCCTCTGTCAACTGCTTTCACAGCACCAACTAGAAATAAAATCTTTGACAGGCCTTTTTAAAAAATGAGGAACCTGCCGTTTAGGGAGCCATTACAGACTGAACCAGCTTCCGTCTCCGAGCCTCTCATCTCGGCCCCATTACCTACACAGTCACTGAATGGTAACCGCTGGGAGCGAGAGGTGGAGCAGTGATAGATGTCAAATGTCCTTTACAACGTGGGCTCCCCACAGCAACAAATCCCCGCAGGGAGAAACAGGTAGACGAACGAATCGATGTGAAGGAAAGGAGAAATTAAAGCTGAGGAGGAGGCGGATCCGTGCGCTGCAGAGAGACGTCTGGCTTCAACTCGAGATCTTTTCACCAAAAACATCATGTTCTTAACTAACAAACCAGGTGAAGTGTTCCTCACTGATCATCCATGGTAGTTTCATGTTTGTTAACCACGACCGTTAAGACTGAAGCAGAAAAGTAAGAAATCATGACTCACGGGTCGAGAAACCAAAAAAAAAAAAAAAAAAAAAAAAGATGCACCAATGTTTAATGTGGTTCCAGTGTCCATCTGCTCTGGCTTTAGATTTAGATGTTTTCATTTTCGTTTTAAAAGACTAGAAATTATAGCATACAAAGTGTATACAGTAGTCCCTCGTTAATTGCGGGGGATCCGTACCCTGAAGACTCGCAATAAGTAAAAAACAGCAAAGTAGGACTAGTAGTACAAGTACTAAGTAGTGGTTTATTTTAGTATTTAAATATATAAAGGCATTTGAACCCTTCCCACACTCTTGCAATATTCTAAACAATGTTTATAAACTCTAAACACTCTAAAAGACACAGAATGTCATGATTTCAGCTCTCGGCCTCCGCTGCTCTCCGACACCTGCAAGCCAGAGCTCTTGGCCACGCCCACTTCTCCGCTGCACAAGTCTCCTTCTGCTCTGGGCTGCACCTGCACCTGTGCACCTGTGCAGGAGGTGCTAAATTATTTTTAAATAATTCATTTAAAATAAAAAAATCCCTGCTGATCGTGCGGCTCATCCATCCATCAGCCAATTGTCCAATCTTACTTTGAAAAGCCGCGATACAGCGAGTCCGCGCAAAACGAACCGCAAAGTAGCGAGGGACTACTGTAAATGTTTTTTATCTATGGTGGAACTGAAGATTTGATTGGATGTTTGCAGTTTAAAAAATAAAGTTTGTGTTTTCACCAAACCAGCATCAAGTCTCGACACATTCTTTCCGTCTGCGTGGAAACCTACAAATAAAATCCTCTCGATTCACAGATTAAAGTGTTTGAAAGTATCTGATTTCCACTCAGCGCTGATGCGTTCAGGTACCAAGACAAACGTCAGGTTTAGAAATGCTGCATTCATGATTTGGGAAAAACATTTTGGCTTGGTGCATTCAAGGACCAGGGGGGAAAAAGATTTTGGGATAGCATTTACCGATGGTGTGTTCAGTGGCCAAAAGTAAACGTCAGGATTTTTATTACTTTACTTAGCTAAGGTGCATTCATGATTTATTTTTTTTAAACCTTTTTTGGATTCATGATTTGGGGAAAACATTTTGGCTTGTTGCGTTCAGGGACCAGTGGAAGAGCCAGATTTTGGATTGCCACAAAGCAAAGTTGTGTATTTGGTAAATGTTGCATTTTTAATTACAGTTTAGCTAAGGTGCATTCAAAGACAGTAGGACATTGTCTGGATTTTGATTGTAACTTAACTATGATGCATTCAGGGACTCTGCTAAACATAATTTTTTTATTGCTGCTTAGCTTTGGTGCGTTTGTGGACAGTAGGAAAATGGATTATTGATCTCCACTCAGCTTTGGTGCATTCACAAAATGCAAAACTAGTTGGACCTTTTATTTCAGCTTCACCACGGTGCATTCACAGACCACAAAATCATCAGATTTTGGAGTTTCAGATAGGCTGATCACCTACATCAAACCAGTCAAGCTGAAAACCGTCAGATTCAGGTAAACATTTTTTTTTTTAAATTCATCTTGAGGGTTCTGGTTCTGTCGGGTCGCTCTATATTTGTCCAATTTTAACGTTTAACCATCAGCAGAGGACGACTCGTTTACTGGAGGTCATTAGGACGGATCGTTGGGCGATTTTAAAATCCAAACAGATGTTTTTAGCACCTTCGTTTTCCGATTCTAACACCTGGAAGTGTGTAACATTTTAAATTACATCAAAACGTGTAGGTCCTGTCGTGACGTCCTTAAAATAAATCTTCCCTATAAAGCTGCAGAAACCTTCCAAAAACCAAACGCCACGTCTAAGCTCCTCAGATCTCTGCGGATCGATGCTCGTCTGCGGCCTCCGGAAAACAAAGAGCGGGGATCAAATTAAGAACGTGCCGAGAGGAGCCGGCGGTGAAGGCGTCCACAAACCCAGGGTGTTTGTGACTCCCTGGGACCCTGTTGAGCCTGTTTGACATGCGAGCAGGCTGCGGCAGGCGGGGTGCGTTCAGAAATAATTGAGCGTGGCGGTGAGGAGGTTGTGGCGTGCAGTAAAGATGGACAGATCCCTTTGTCTGTGGGGAGCGCCGGCCGCTCGAGCCGAGGCGAAAATGAGGAGTGGACGAGGAAAAGTAAGAGACCGGGGGGGGGTGGGGGTGATGAAGAGCAGGCTGGCTCCAGGCGGCGATAACAGATGAAGCAAAGATGGAAAGTGAAGAAGTCAAAAAGTGTGAAAAGAGTTTTTAATGAGGAGGGGCGCTCGGAGGAAGACCAGAGACGAAGAGGAGGGCGCACGCCGACGACTGTTCTCAACGACTAACCTCAGGATAAAAAGTCAATTACGGGGAAAAGCTAACGAGCCGAGCGGCGTGAGTGACAGCGAAGCAGAGGAAACAAAGCAAACGACGTGACGGGTGAAGGTACGATGAGAACGCCTTCAGTCTCTCCTGTCATAAAACCACAACAGGCAGCTGGAAACTCGTGTCTGAGGCTACGTGATGGGCTCGTAGCCGTGCAGCTGTCAGAGCGGAGGAAGGAAACAGGTTTTAAAGTCTCCCCGCTGATTAAAGGTGCTGCGTGAAACATGAGGAAATCAGTAAACTGCACCGCTCACTGTGGAATTAAGTGCAATTAGTGCAAGGCCGTAAAACATCTCTTCCTGCTGCTGAAGCTTCGTCTGGCTGACGTGTTGGTTCGACATAACTGGAACCTTTAACAAAAATAGTTTTTATTAAAACTTTTCATCTTATTGGATTATATACATATACACACAGTAGTCCCTCGCTACTTCACTGTTCATTTTTTGCGGACTCGCTCTATCTCGGTTTTTCAAAATAAGATTGGACCAGACACACAATTGGCTGATCGATGGATGAGCCGAACAATCGGCATGGAATTTTTATTTAAGATAAATTATTTTAAATTATTTAGCGCCTGCTGCACATTTGTGCAGCCCATACTGCAGTAAAAGCTTCCTCCTGCAGCTGGGCAGCTGTTCTCCGTGCAGCGTGGAGAAGTGGGCGTGGCCAAGAGCAGAGGAGGCAGGGAGCTGAAATCATGACATGCTGTGCTCTTTTATTTAGAGCGTTAGTTTAGAAACATTGTTTAGAATATTGTAAGAGTGTGGGAAGGGTATAAACACCTTAATGTATATATAAATGTATAATAAAAATAAACTACTACTTGTACTATTATTCCTACGTAGCGGTTTTTCACTTATCGCGGGTCTTCAGGGTACGGATCCCCCACGATAAATGAGGGACTATATATATCTATATATATATATTTATATATATATATATATATATATATATATATAAACTCTGACTATTTTCCTTTACGTTACTGTAGATTTTAATTGCTCTTATTGTATTTTAAGGTATAACGTCATGTTGTATTCTGTTATTTGTCCGACAGTCTTGTATTCCATCTTATTGTTAGTAGACTTTATTAAAGTGTTTTATTTAAACTTGTACTGCATCATATCCTCATATCTGTGTTTTCTCATTGAGATTGTTGATATTTTTCTCGTTGAGTTGTGGTTCTCAGGGACAGTTTTTCTCCTCTTCCTGTTCTCCATGTTTCGTGTGGCGCACAGGCTGAATCAACTTCTCCTTTTTATCTCGTCTCAGGTGGGATTTTTACATTTCCCATACCTGTTCTTTACCACAGGTGAGTTTAAACAAGCATCGCATGCTTGAAACAAAGTTATTTACCACTTTAAAAAGATGTCAATAATTTTGTCTGGACCATTTTTTTGAGTTTTGCGTGAAATTATATCAATTTAGGCTTTTTTTTAAAATCTGTTTATGTGTTGTTCCAATACACACAAATGAAATAAACGTGCATAACAAAACGTGTAACTGCAACAGTTTTCTGGGAGAAAAACTTAATTTTCAGGAGTGCCAACACTTTCAGCCATGACTGTACTTCCAGCAGTTATGGTAGATTATATTGGTAGTATAGCAACCATTGATAAAGAGAATGCAACAATGAAACATCAAACTAAAGAACATATAATTATATATATTTTTATAAGGAGGCCATATAGTTCATGATACGAGTACACACACACACACAACAAATAAAAGTTGATAGATGTCAAAGAACCAGAAGTAAGCAGAAATATATCCAGACCTCATCACAAATGATTTAGAGCATGTGCAATAATATCCAATATAAGATTCATGGCTAGTGCATTAACCTCACCTTACCATACGATGTCTTACCTAAACCATACCTTTCCATACATGACCATACGTACTCATACCTCATCTTTTTTATATTTACCCACACAGTGAACATCACATCTCACAGTAAACCTGATGTGTTTTGGATCTTGAGTAGTTATTTGTTTAGGTCCACACCTTCTCAATCCTCTTTCCATCCATCCATAAATTATCTTTTACCCGCTTCTTCCTTTTTGGGTCGCTGGTGCGCATGTCCAGCAATCACTGTGCGAGAGGCGGGGGACACCCTGGACAGGTCTCCACTCCATCACAGGGCCACATAGAGACAACCATTCACTCTCTCTCACACACACCTAGGGACAATTTAGAGTTACCAATCAGCCTAACAAGCCTTTTGAATTCAGTTTATTTCTATTGCGCCAAGACACAACAGAAGTCGTCTCAGGGCATTGTATAAAACATTCACATACAAACTTTAAACTTCTTATTCATCTACAAGAACCTTTGCCTTAAAAAGGCGTACTTTACTCCGAGTCTGCAGATTTACTGTATGTATTGTATGTTCCAGTGCTTGTTCAAACAGGAGCTTTAGCATCATATGGTGAGAATTCATGCCAAGTTTCTCAGCTTTATTGGTAAATGTATACCTTTAAATTTAAACCAGTAAGAGCATGTGATATTCTAAGATGTTCTTGTTCACAGACTGTTGCAGCCCTGACACAAACAGCCGAGCTAAAACAACCTGAAGGTTCCAGGTGATGACAAGCATCATAAATACATTTGTTGCTGTCCAACACCCACCACTATGAGGTTCCACATGCGAGCAGCTTCGGCCACCAGCGTGGAGACGCTGCTGCAGCCGGGCATCAGGACGATCTTGATGGGCTCGGTGTAGAGAAGGTCGTACAGCAGCTTGGTGGCTTCTCCTGGATCGCACTGGAAGAGCAAAATGACAGAAGGTCAATGGATGGAAGGAGGAACGCATTTAGATGAGGCAGGGATGAAAAAAAAGAGATGAGACTCAGGAAAACAGATGAGAAAACAAATATTTAAAAAAAAAGGAAGAGACAAATAAGCAGAATCAGAATCGTAGCAGAAACCTGCAAAAAGAAAAACGTTTTCTGTGTTTTCAGATAATTAAAAAATAAAATAAAACGCCGAGCTGTTCTCAGATCAGGACACTGACAGAAGGACAAGAAGCAAAAAATGAGCCTGACGAGCTCATCGGCAGCCATCACGCATGTTTGAACCCCTAATAAAGTCATTTACGGCACGTCGAGGTGGCCGACGTGCGGCTGGATGATCCATCATTGTTCTGTCGGGGCCTCGGTACCGACAGGTCATCTTCACCACATCAGAGTCACAGATAAATGGACCTGACGTGTCTAATGATTCAGCACCAGAGAGGAGCTGAGGCTCCCAAACACAAACATGCTCTAAACAACAACAAAAAAATCTCTTCAGATGGACCATGGCTGATGACGGCTGATATAAGACCCGTTTGTCTCAGAGCCTCAGCGGTCCCTTCAAGGCGGCCCGGTGATTTTTCTGAAGTGGTAATCACAGACGAAGAGCTGGGAATGCGTTGGATTGTTGGGATTTGTATTCAGTGATGGGTTTTCCATTAACTCGAGGCCAGGCTGAAGTACAGCGGCGTCGCGTCATCGCAGAAAAGAGTCGAGAAGTTGACGGGCAATCAGATAATTCAATCTGAGGCTGTCTGACGAGCTGTCCTCTCCAAGACGACTCGTTGTTTACCTTCAGCTTCTTTCAGACAAGTTTTCAAAATACAAAGTTTTACAGGTTCACCAGACGTCACAACAGCAGAGTGTCTCATCCAAGCATGTGTTTCTGTAGCTGTGGCCGAGGAACAGGTGATAGTATACCCCCCGTTTGGACTATACCTGGGGTAGAAGGGGCCTAGGATAGACTAAACCCCAGGTAAACTGTGGCTTAGGCCAATTTCTACTCTGTGGTAGAATTCAGCTCAGGCTTATTCATACCCCTCAGACCAGATTATACTGTATATACCAGTATACTGTATATGGGTATATAAATGGGTATATTCAGACCTGGAGGGTCTCAGCTTATACTCAGCTTAATCTGGGAAGGGATTACACCAGCCATTGACTCCAAAACTTCATCAGTTGTAGACATATATAGCTAATATAATTCAATTCAAAAATACTTTATTAATCCCAAAGCGGGGTTCGTGAGATATTATGCTAACAGCCAGTCACAAGCAGAAACATGACCAGTGGCAGACGATAAGCCTTTTTTAAAGTTCTTCTCTTATTTGCGCCACTTGCTTTACGAGCCTTTTGATGCTCACGGCTCAACTTTTTGGAGACACGCTGCTGCCATACAATCAAAAAATTACCTTCTTTAAAAAAAATTAATTAAAATAATTGTACCTTTCTTTTTACATTTGATGTTTACCATGTTCTATTGTGTATAAAATATGGGTTTACGAGATTTGCAAATCTGTTTTTATTTGGATTTTATGCAGAATTAAAACTCTTTCGGAGGCGTAGCTGGACCTTTGAGGATGCCATCTAACAACACCGCAGGAGATGGCACCTACAACGTCCTTTTCAAGGTTTGATCAAAACGCTCAGTGGTTAGAGGCGGAGGTTTAATTCCACCGGTAAGATAAATGAACTGTATATATAGAGTGCCTTTCTATTCAAGCAGAATACTCAGAGATCTATAACACGATCTGTGCCCTCGTTTATGCATCTACACACATTTATTCAGCATTCTCCTGCATGACCACAAAGATAATCTGAGTAAATCATTCTATAGAGACTAATCAATGCTTTGAGTCACATTCATACATCGATGGGACGCATCGGAGACTCAGGGTTCAGCGTCTTGTTCAGGGACACTTCAGGGAGTGCATATTGGTGGAATCAAACCTCCGACTCTCTCATCGGGGGACGACTGCTCAAACCACTCATCCACAGCCACACAAAAACTTCTCAGGGAGACACTTGAATGTGACGTTGCTCCCACAGAGGGCCAGCGATCGGCTTGGGGTTATCTGGAGTCGTTAATGCAGCCGTGGTGCCCCGATCAGGGCACCCCTGTTAGGGCACCGTTCACGGGTTTTACTTGTTTGCATGTTTTAGCTCTAGAATTGCCACAGTCAAGTAACAGATGAGTGATCAAAGGAACCAGAACTGAAATAATCAGTGATGTGCAGTTTCACTGAACCGGGCATGTGTACTTTGACGTGCATGGCTTAATTTTGAAACAAGTATTTGCTGTTGGCAGAATCAACCAAGTAGCCCCCTGGCCTGAAGGGTGTGGGTATAGTTTGGCTGAGTCCAGGAGGAGCACAGTCTCAACCCATGCTTTTGTCGGGAGCGAAGGATGAACTCAGATGGTTCGGGAAATGTTGCACGTCCCGGAGTCACCGCTGCTGAGCGTGGGCACGGTTCGTTGGTGGTAATCGGCCACACCACCCCTAATATCGACGGGGTACCTTGGTCTCACTGCCAAGATGTTGGGCTGCTGGTGGAAGCAGACGCCTGGGTGCTCGCTGGCTTGAAGACGAGCACGCGTGTGGAAGAACCGAGCCTACAGAGCGCCGGCGCCAGGCTGGAGGAGCCCTTCAACAGCTGGCCACGAGTGCGTATAGGTCCGATTTTTTTAATTTTCAGCCTAAGTACGCAGTGAAATGTTGCAGTGCCCCATAGGCTACACACCAAACCTCTCATTGCTGCAGATGTGTCCCATCGATGTATGAATGTGATCTGAAGCACTGATTCGTCTCCGTTTGAACCACTGATTCAGATGATCTTTGCAGCAGAGTGCTGTATCATCATGTGCGGAGGTGAATGAGGGCACAGACTGGGTTGTGAAGCGTTTTTAGTATCCTGGTTAAGAAGGCCCAGTCCATTTCCCCTCACTGGAGTCTGATAACCGGTGCTAGCTGCACGTTCAGGTTGTGAAGGAGTCAAACTGTTCGAATGCCTCCCGCAGCAGAATTTCTCCCCGATTAACTTCTCACATGGATTTCATGCAAACAGCGTAATCACAGCTCAGATTTCACAGACATGACTCCAAGCTGATCGGCGGCGCTGCTCGTGCTAAAAGCCCGACCGCACAGATGTTTTTGGCTTCTTATTCGGGGAGCTGTCAAGTCCTCCATCTTTCCATACGCTTCACCGTCCAAACAGTAATCAGAGCTGCTGCCACGACTCCAGACTCCTCGTCGGTTCCCAGTTTCCAGCTCCAGGATCAGAATCAGGATTTACTTCTGCCTCGGTTCTTTATTTTTAGCACAAATAAGCAGCTGCGGCGATAATTCAGAGCGTGAAAACGTTTTTTTTGTTGTTGCTTTTTGCTTCCTGGGCTGCACAGCTGCTACCCAAAGTGCCCGACAGGATGTGTTGCACTCCGGTCCTGGTTTGTCGACACTCATTTAAAAAGAAAATAATTTCTGATTTCTACTGGAAGAACGTTTGAGAGCAGATATTTCACTCATCGTTGGATGAATTTTATTGAAATGTTCAGGAAATAATGAACAGATGCGGAGCCAACCTAATTCAAGATGGCCACCGCAGCTACTCATCTTCAGAAACACACAAAACCCCTGACTGCTTAAAACCTTGGCGATAAACTTGTTTGTCTGTTAGCAAAATATCTCCAGAACCACTGGAAGTATTTTAATAAAACTATTAGCACACGATAACTTTATGTCCATCTACAACTGATTAAACTTCGGAGCCAACTCAGTGCAAAACGAGCGCTGCAGCACGCCAACATGGGTCAACAAAAAAAGAGCAATAACTTTGGCTACATTTGCAAATATGAGCTAAAGTTTGGTGTGTAGTAGCCGAGAGTTGTCGTTTTAAAGGTTTGATCAAAACGCCTTGATATTTCTCAACATAAAATGATCTTAATTTGACTTTAATCCTTTAACTGGTTGGTTTTGTTGTGAAATTATCCGACTCTGTAATTAATCAGTCGGACAGCAGCAGCATCATTAACAGCTCTTTGACATAAAATCAGCCGAACCTGCAGAGCGGAGCCTGCAGTTCGACCTCGCTGGCGTCCTCGGACCTGGCCGCACGCCGAGGACGGCCTCGTTGGTTCTCGACTCCAAGCTTCACCCCGACGAGCTGCTCGCCTTCGCCTCCGCCAATTATCCTCATATTATTTAATCAATCCATCAGCACCGCGGCAGATCCCAGGTCCTAATAGCAGCTGGTTTTAATCAACTTTCCAAATTACTGGCTGATTATAACGTGTAGAAATTAGGATTTAATCAAGAAGTGCGGCTTGTGATCTTGTAGAGGTTATTAAAACACCCAAACGAAGACAAACAGCCATTATCCTGCAACATGTTGAGTCAAGACGATTTCCCTGTGATGAAAACACATTAACTGCAGGCCGTAAAGCGACCCAGCTCCTCCGCAGAGCTTCAATTTGAATAAACAAAAACGGATAATTACGGCCTAATGTTTGTTAAGGAAATATGAAGGCACACGTTAGCTGGAGGAGCCATTTTACTGGGTGGAAAACGCAATAACACGAGAGCAGAGGTCTCTAAAAGAGCTTAGAAACGTTCCCGTCACTGAAGGGCTTCCGTACCAATGACGTGTTTTATTTTATTTTAGAGTGGGTTTGAATTAAGACATAAAAAAATAAATTTAATAAATGCAGTAAATAGACACTAGTTTAGTTTTCACGTGTGGAAAACCAACTTCAAACTCACAAAACACCCAAGAAAAAACTCCAGATGGAAGAAGAATCGCTCTGATTAAAAAAAAAACAATTATCTTTCTAATACAGAAAACTTTGTCGGATTATGTTTCATCCTTCGAAACAATAGTTTGGCTTAAAAATCCAAAGAGCTCAGGATTAACAAAATAAAACACATCATTGTCTTTGAAATCTGCTTCAGCTTCTGTTTTTGTCTTTATACT